CGTTTACACATGTAGCAACCTTACAAACTTTGTTTGGTGAGGAATGACTTTACCTCTTGCATATTTTCTGTTTTACAACTCAAAATTTGAAACTTTTCAGTACAAATGGAGCACTCTGTAAGACTTTACATAGCTTAAACATTAGCTGCACATAGACGTCTTTATATGGACACTGCTGACTGTTAAATTATACCATGTATCACATCACTGGAAATATTGTATGTGTCTGGTGTTTTTATGATTTATATGACTGCAACTGTTGTGAGCAAAAAGATAAAGAGGATTCAATAAGAGTTTTAAACACCTGACTAAGTAGTTTCATACTAACAATTCAATAAAGAAAGGAGGACATAAGCAGAAAAGGAATGAAAGCAAATGAAAATGAGGACAAGACTAACTGAGGCACAAAACAGAAACACAAAACATCAGCAAACTCACTAGCTACGACATCAGCAAGCTTCGCTGCACAAAGTGATTTCAATAGACTGAGGTGAAATGCAAAATATTAGAAAGGTATTTTAATTAAAGTAACATTGCTTGTTTATTAAAGTGATTTTTGCTGAAATAATTGCTGGTCATTTCAGCAAAAATGACCAGCAATGGTCAGTTTTGCTGAAATGTGTGGTTTTGTTTTTTTTTTTTTTTGTTTTGTTTTTTTTTTGCTGGTATGTGGCATAGCTTCATTTACTTCCTCAAAGCTGTGTGCTTCACAGCTTTGAGGAAGGTGTCCCTCGGTTATTAGAGGCACACAAGTGCTTCACAAAGCTTGAGGAAACATGAACGCTTACAGTTTTCTTTTTACTTTGTTCTTGTCTCTTCAAAGTCAAGGTAAGTTGGAACATTTTTATTTTTACTTAGGTTTTAGTTAGCTTTTTTGGGGCGGGGAACAATTAATTTAAAGCTCACTGATTTCTCTCATTTCTCTGCAGTTTTTTCAGAAGACGATTTTTACCAAGTCAAAGCATGTTGTTCATTCAATGGTCCAAACTTTGACAAGGTTGAATACATACTTACAACCAGTTTTAACAAGCAAAAGATGATGGAGTACAACAGCACAAGAGGAAACTGGATTGGATTCACTGATTTTTCAATTGTGGCTTCATATTACTGGAACAGAGACCCTTGGGACCGCCTTGAAAGATTAGTGGAAATGAGACTAATGTGTTACGAGAACATCAATTTTATTCAAACCATCGGTAAGAGCATTTTTTTTTAACAATATGAACACAGTTTTCATATTACTTGATGTGACAGTATGGAACTGAGACTATGATGTTTTACATGCTCATTTGCCAACAAACACATAACTGCTGTTATATTTTTACATTTTAATTTTCCAATTATAGAGTCATTAACTTTTGTGTTAATTTCTGTGTAGGTGCATTAGAAAATGTTCATGTTTTTGTTCGCATTTACTTGTTCATGATATCATGCAATGGAAAATATACAAAATAAATAAAAAACCTTGAAAATGCGACGATACATCTCAAGGGGTTATCCTTGAAAAAAATATATAAATAATGTGAAAAAAAATCGTAAATAATACGCTGTTTTTTTCTAGGAAACCTGTCAACAACGCCGTCCATGAGGCTAAAATCAGTGAAACAGACAGATGGTCGACATCCAGCCATGCTTGTGTGCAGTGCCTATAACTTTTACCCAAAGCAAATTAAAATAACCTGGCTGCGAAATGACCAAGAAGTGACTGAAGGGGTCAGTAACACAGATGCCATCCCAGTTGGAGAATTGTACTACCAGTTTCATTCTTACCTTGAGTACACACCGACTTCAGGAGAAAAAATCAGCTGCATGGTTGAACACGTCACCCTGTCGGAGCCAAGGATCATTGTTTGGAGTAAGTTTGTTATTGTCATGCAGATACTTGACATGCAAATAATTTCATATATGAATGTTTACTCTCTCTTTCCCCCATTTCAGATGACTCCCTTCCTGAAGGAGAAAAAAATAAGATTATTGTGGGACTGTCTGGACTGATCCTTGGTTTGGTTATCTTTATCTCTGGATTTATTTACTACAAGAAAAAATGTGCTGTGTATAACTCTGTCCGCCAGGGTGAGGAGATGTAAGTTTGTTGTAGGTCACAACAGGCTTCGTTAGCTACAGCATAGCACAGAGCAAGGGGGAGGAAGAATGAGAAGCAACATGAGATTATGATTGACAGCACTATAACCTGCCTCCTGCCTCTGATTGGTTGTTTCTAGATAGTACTGGGAAAATGCAGAAGAAAGAGATTCTTTTACAAATTATCTCTAATCCTACACTGGGGATGTGGGTTAGAGCTGCTGCTGCTGACTGACTCATCTGTTGTCAAGGGACAAGTTGAATATCTTGGTAATTTTATTTTCCTTAATTCATTAAATGCTAGTGAAATGGAGGCAAGCCGTAGTCTGTAGCCAAGCTAACTATGCTAAATGGTTGATAATCTCACAGTCTACTCACCTCTATTGGAGAAAAACTATGTTACAGATTGGTACTCTTGTCTTTTCTCTCTCTTATCTCTATTATTTTTTTATTTATTTATTTTTTTTTGAGAACCTGACTATTATTTTTCTTGGCAGCATAGTAACTGCCACAGTCGCTCTTGTCTTCTACTGGCTGCTGCTGAACCATCACATGCAGATCCAGGGGAGTTCAGGGCAAATATGGAGGTGTGATTTTTGGTCTGGGAGTGGGAACATGAAATTTTTACTGTTAAAAACAGTATTAGAAAACACAACATATGATTAATTTTGTAACTGACAGGGCCCCATTTTTTTTTTATTTCTATGAATAAAATAAAAAGAGAAAAAAAATTGTGGAGGGGTCCCTGTTGGACAAAGGCCCTTAGAAATGTCATAACTCTACACAGCGCCCCTGCTCTCAATAGCTATAGCCACCCCATCACTGGGTCCCTGCATGGAAAAGTGGGGATGGTTAACTTACAATTATCTTAAAGTAAGAAAAAATTCTTCACATGTGGCCTTACCATAATTATAAAGAAATTAGGAAGGTCTGTAATAAGTACAACTGTAAACATGCAATAAATAGCAGAAATTTCTTCATTTTGTATTCAATAAAAGGTACTATGTGTGTTTTATTGTGTATGCTGGCATTCCTCAGAAACCTTTTCACCAGATCTGTGGTTATATTTATGAGACTTTTCAAGTTCAAGTTTCAGCATTTGTTCATCAGTGGTGCAATTCATCACTTTATTTTACTCCAAAAACTAAGCTCTTGTGTAGTGATTAAAAGATGGAGAAACAATGAG